TTGTATGGCCTACAAATAATTGTTCCGGGTCTGGATGTTTGTCCTTGTGCAATTTATGTTTGTAAACTGTCCCACGATACAGGAGGTAATCCTAGCGTAGGGGTAACGTTTTTAAAAAGAATTTGCTGGTTGGGCTATTAAGTCTATTAAATCTGTCAGTATCTATAATATTAAAAAATGTATATATGGTAAGTTTCAATCACCTACTAACTAGTAGTCTCTGAGAAGAACGTTGCGACGGACAGACAGACAACGAATACACGAAAAAAATTCAAAGTAATCCGTTTCTTCGCTAGGAGTAATAGTGTTCTGTGACTCCGTTTTACGAATTTGAGAAGCAGGTTCAAGTGAACATGTCTGCGGGCACTGACCTACGCGGGTAGAAATCTAATACGCGAATACGACAGTTGCGTTAATTTGGAACTGGCGGAGGGTTTTACTTTAATAAGCTATACTATATCTTCATACAGCTTCAAAGTTAAATACTTATATTGGTAAGCAGGTCGGAGTACTATTTTCTAGGTTAAGCTGTACTTAATATAGTTTTCACTACATTTCATACAGCGGTTTTTTGAAACAATGTTCATAAAATGTCGTTCATATGTTTTAAAATCAATGAAGGCTAACACGTAAATACTCGTATATCAATAAAATTATATGCACATAATTTCAATTTTAAGTGCTAATTTACAACGTGTATGCCCGTAAATGAAAACGTTGTGAGGAGCGTCAGACTAATTGCTCTATAATTCTCACAAAAATTAATGGAAACCTGTTCACAAAATTGGAATATATTGCGTAATTGTTAAGTCATCAGACATGTTAAAGGGGGTTAAGGGAGGAGGAATCAGTAATTCACTAAACTACACAGTATCGGTACAGCAGATTGCGTAACAGTGGAGTATAACCCTCTTTATAGCTTGCTGAACGACTTAACGCTTCCTTATAAGGCTTGCAGTGTAAAACCACGTCTCAGATCAATAAGTAAAACGCACTAGTTTTACACTCTCTTTTTTAAGTTTTGGTGAATACTGAAATTCGAAAAATCACCTCAAGGGAATGGGGTCTCACGTTGTGCGGATTTCGGCCGCAGCCTTGAGAGTCTCCTCAGATCCTCCCTCCACCCGCATGAGGACGACACATATGCTCCACCAACCTATACAACGGTAGATATAGCCAAAAGTTAGTTATAAAATATTAGTAATAATTCGCCATCAGAAAAGGTTTGTGTCACTGACGTTGAATATATGCGTTTATCTTACCCACCAACAAGTTGCCTTCAATCTTTCAAAGGTGGGAAATTTACAGAGAGATATTATTATGTTGTAATATAAAACATCATCAAGGTCAATCAATCTGCAACCCCGTAATGAAGGGACCCGACTCTAGGTGTGGGTTAAACCAAGACGTAGAGAGCGCCATTGAGAACAGCAACCCGCAAAACAACCATCGCAGAGACACAATACCGCAATTATCAGTAAGCACCAATGCAACTATCATACGCATGGCGCCCATCACAAACACCCACATGATCCCTACCGACTTTGGTAATAAAATTGGTATTGTTGTTAACTAAAAATAACACCAAAATAACACCACCAGTAATCAAAAATCCACGTGCCACAATTACACTTAAAAGTGCTACCAAACACACTTATCCCAATCCGAAAGATATCTGACGTGCCATAACGCTATGCGTTAAGACGCCGCCCAGAAATGGTATGGATGTGCGATGTCCACGGGCAAGCCGTATTGCTACAACAAACAAGTTTACCACCGCACTAAGATGGTATGTCTAGAACACAATCGGTTAGCGAGTCAAGTACCTCGGTCTCGGACGCTGTGATGCATTCTATACGCCACTATAATAATCGTTTTCAAATATCATTTCTATTAATATAATGCTTTTACGTATTTCAAACCTTCCACATATTTTCTTCATTTAATAGACCTCACTTATTACAAGGGCAACACTGAAAGTTTTTAGCACTGGCCACTTGTAAATGACGTAATAAAAAAATAAGTTCAAATTTTAAAAATGGAACTCTTATTTGTCGTTTGTTTACGATTTGGCGGCAAACTGAAATTTGTCTATGTCACGTCAGCATGAATTTAACGCGAGAAAATTTTCGTACAATGATTTTTTATGACAATCGATGTCATTTAGGTCAACAAGAAAGTTATGATAGACTTCGATTGGTCTTTAACGATGAAGTCCCATCTCATGCCACTGTTTACAACTGGTTTAATCTATATAAATAGGTCGCACTAATCTCACCGATGATATGCGTGAGGCGCGGCCTTCTACGGTGACGACTGAAGATAACATCAGTGTTGTGCGGCGGATGATAGATACAAAAAAGAACCCCTTTGTCGTATCTCCTCAGTTTGAAGGCACTCCCCTTGCTGCCTCAGCTAGCATCGGAATCCTTGGCGTCGACTTATCGAATAGTGTACAGTTTCGTGCTCACTTGGAGGGGAAGGCCAAATTGGCCTCTAAAAACTTGGCGAAATCAGCAGAGCGAGACAGTATTTCATGCCGGCACATCGCTTGCAACTTTACAAAACGCAAGTTCGGCCCCACATGGAGTACTTTTCTCATCTCTGGGCCGGAGCACCCCAGTGCCAGCTCCTTCAACTTGACTCGAATCGTCGACGACCGAGTTCTTTCTGATCGGCTCGATTCACTGGCGCTGCGTAGGGATGTTGCATCCCTTTGCATTTTCTATCGTATCTACCATGGGGAGTGTTCTGAGGAATTGTTCAGATTAGTTCCAGCCGCCAAATTTCACGAACGCACATCGCGTCAAAATTCCCGATACCATCGTCACCATCTGGACGCTTGCGTTTTTCTAGGAGTTTTCTTCCTCGTATAACTTCTCTATGAATTTTTTTAACACCGGCGACTTTTCCGGACCGATACGACTTAGGGACCTTCAAGAAAAGAGCTTACTCCTTTCTAAAATGCCTCGATGCTCTTTCATCACACATCAAATAGTAATATGTTATCAAATAGTTTTTATTTTTTGATATAAACTTTAAATCCCTTTACCTGTGGAATACTACCACACTACCCTTCCAGTAACGAGTTAATATATTTACTACTTATTTATATCTAAATAATAATTAAGTAAATTATAAAGCGTATCTTTATGTTAAATTTAGTCTTTGTTTTATTAAAATTCGTTCATTCTATCAAAAAGTTATGATTTATATTCTTAAGTATGCGCCGCGTTGAGTCATCAAGTGAAAATCATAATTAAATGATGTAAAATAATTTTCCATAACGATATAGTTATATCTGAAACGCAGTAAATAAAAATAACAAAGAATAACGTAAAATAAATATAAACAAAAAATATAATTAACCTTAGTATCTAAAGCACAATAGTTGACCAGTGTCATCGATAGACGGTGGTGCTGTATCATTAATGTAACACATAAAGGCAGGTTGTGTTTTTCTTTCCTGTATTTTTCTTCATATTTGCTGCTGATTTTTGTAATCCACAACTACTAAAGGATACTACGTATTACTCGCTGCCCTACTACGTTTTGACAAACTAATTTTTATTTATAAAATTTTGAATAAGAAGGTTTGCTTAAAATGTTTCTTTACCGCTGAGTAACCTAAAGAATTTTAAAAGATATATTATTATTGAGAGCATCCACGACTTTTTCTGCCACTAGGGCGGCGCCACTTAAAATGAGGTGTAATATTTGACAGATTTCGTAGTGGGGAAATTAATTTGTTCGAAAATTGTAAAGGCATATGTTTCTTTCTGTACCATAAGTTATATTTTGTACTGTATTAAAAATAAATAAACCAAACCACAGATATTCATAAAATTAGAAAAATCAAAAATATTACAAAAATGTGCAAACAATTAAAGAACAAACCACAGAGGCAATGTTTTGTGTATTAATATAATACTCTAGAAACTGATAAACTTTTATTAAAAACTAAATTATCAATTAAATGACATTCTGTAACAAAAAACTTCACCTCAATGTCAACTAGCGACATCTGGTGAGCGTAAGATTATTGCCCTCATTACGTTGGTTTCGGCTAGGATCATAGAGCAGAGTAATATATACAGAAATCTGGGATCGAACTTTCTTTTTTGCCTATGCTACTTACTGTAGGAATGATTTGTTCAGCAGACACTGATTTAAATGTTCTGGTATGTTTTATTTAATGTATCAATCGTTCGAAATTTGTCTTTTATTTTTAGATTAAAACTTTTATTTTTAATTGACGTTGACGGGGCCCCGGACCACCGCCAAATAAAAAAAAAAAAAAAAAAAAAAAAACAAAAAAAAATAATTAGAAAAAAATTGATATTAACGGCTGTCTTTATATTATTTAGTCTTTATATTGTACAGTCTTTATTATACCTATAATAAAGATGGTGATTACCTGTGTCTATACATTGTATATTATATTTGTGACAAAAATTATTAAGGAGACTGAAAAAAAGTAAATAAGAACATTTTTAGAAATTTTAGAATTATCTGTCTGTTTCTATAAGAACTCATTAAGCACCAAGTAAACATTTTTTTTCAATGAAATCGCTAAGAAAATCATAAAGTGTGCCTTCGCGTTACATTTAATATTTGTTTTATTAAAATCGGTTAATTGTATCAAAATATATGATAATTTCAAAAAATAGATTCGAATTAATTCAACGGCGCAATAAAATCTCAGAAACAGTAATAAAATTATTTGTGTATAAATTTACGTTCTATATTATTATATTATTTGTTATGTATCAATATCCGGAGTCCATCTTGAGTCAAGCACTTGTCTTTCCGCCTAAAGTCAGCACTTCCGGCTACCTTACCTATATGGAGGGGGCACCCCACCACTGTTTTTGCTTTGTTATTAAGTAGTAATGAGCAACAGGTCTCGTCATTACAGCGTTGTTTTACGCGCCGTTGACAAGTCGGCCTCGAAAAAGTTTCAATTTTACTAAGTGGATTAACTACCCTACTGATAAAATATGGAGGAACAAAGTGTCGACGAAGTTACATTATTAAATTCTCAAAAACGTGTGCGTACTTCATCGTCGAGTTCGGATAGCAGTGATTCATCAGAAAACAGTGTTTGCAGTCAAACAAAGAGACGCAAGAAAAGAAAAATGGGTCAAACCGTAAGTAATGAACATTTTGAATTTTTATCCCAGCAAGTGGCCTTTTTAACTGATATTATTACATAATCTAGTGAAGTTACAAGCTAAAATCAAAAAATAGTTCCTTCACTTAATCTTAACTTCCACCGACCTACAACAGAAGGCGGTGACAAAATAAACCAGCTCAAGCTATCTGATTTGAGTATCACGGTAAAAGATCCTATTTATCCACGTGCAAATGAAATACATTTAATGAAATTTAGTAGAACTGCAGCGTTTTAATTGTGATGATTGGTATGCTGTAGGTTTATCGATGCCCAGAAGAAATATTTATCTACCCCCGATTTTGTCTAATTTACTATAAATGATTCGCTAAAACGATTTGAATCTGCAATGTTGCGTGATGATCCTCGTTCTTATTTGCTAGAACGTTCCTTCGCCGGGTTAACTAACGCCTTACTTTGCCAAAAATAGGAATTACAAAGAGCATTACAAGCACTAGTAGATTGGGCCAGAAATTCTCAACAGACGTTGACTCCAAATACATTAATCGATAAAATAGAGACGTTATTTTCTAAGGAGTCACCGTATAGCAAAGTAACTGAAGATTTGTTTCAAATAGTTCAACGACGATTCCACTCAGACCTACCTTCAGGAGGGGCAGATAAGTTGACCACTTCATCCCGATCAATGCCTCGTACTCAAAAAGAAATTTTTTATGCAAATCAAAAGCCATCGACGAGTAAACAAGCTGATGATATATTTTTTCGTCAAAGCAATCCCTCGAAAATAGGAAAACTTGCACCACGCCCATCCAACCAAACAAATCAAGATAGATCGGGCAAAAATAAACAGAGAAAAGAAATCGCAGTCGCATTCTTCCTTTAAAAATGACCTTCATAAATTACTCTCAAAAATTTCATGGCGGCTGTCTCAAACAATTTCAAAATGTTAGAGCAATTTAGGCGCGCCGGAACAAATATGCAGACTATTAAGCGGCTCTTACATCCTATTCGTACTAAAGCCGCCTCTAATACTTCCAAATCAAATTGTGATTCAGAGCTACAGGACCAAAACTTCTTTAAATATGACTCTCCAAATTCAAAGTATGTTTAAAGTCCGGAGTACTCGGGCGGAGCCAAGTGCCAGTTTCCTTTCCAAATTCTTTTTGGTGCCATAACCAGACTGCAGCTACCGTCGAATATTGAATTTGAAACAATTGAACAGGTTCGTCAAAACAAAATCCTTCAGATTGTTCAGTCACTTTCGAGTACCCACCTTCCTGCAGTATCAGGATTGGATGGCAAAATTAGACCTAAGCCAAGCCTACTTTCACGTTCCGATTGTTCGTCGTCATCGAAAATACTTGAGACTAAATTATCACATCAATTTAAACCAGCACCAACTGCTCCAGATGACCCGCTTACCGTTTGGCCTTTCTCCTGCACCGAGAACGTTTGCCTCAATAACAAACTGGGTAGCAGAGTTTCTGAGGATTCGAGGCATCAGATGTGTAGTTTATTTAGACGATTTTCTATTGGCAAGCCAGTCGATGCAACTACAAGAAGACATATCATTAACGATAAAGATCATGCAGTTACTAGGTTGGACAATAAATTTCAAAAAGTCCGTGCTGATTCCGACGCAGTGCCTCGAATTTCTCGGCATAACATGGGACACAAAAACTCAATGCGAAGTCCTTATCGGAGAAAAAGTGCTTAACGCTACTCAACGGACTTCAGCAGCAGCTCTTAAAAGGCAATTGGTCCCTCAAACAGTACCAGATCTTAATGGGGAGACTCAATTTTTGCCGCTTACGTAACCCGGAGAGGTCTGCTTCACTGTCGAACACTGCAATATTTCAGTCGACAGTTGTCAAAGAACCACCATTACCGCCAAGTAAGTATTCCACTACTAGTTCAATCTGAGATGGAGTGGCGGCTACAAGCTGTAGGTCAATCTGTACCGATACACATGAGTGCAGTAGTAACTCACCTTCTAACAACCGATGCTTCAGATATCGGCTGGGGCGCTCAACTCTGCGATATAAGTACCGGGGGGACCTGGATGAACCGGCAACTAACCTGGCACGCTAACAGAAAAGAAATGTTTGCAGTTCATGCATCAATATCACACTAACGAAATCTGCTTCAAAACTCACAAGTTCTTCTTCAGACAGACAATCGAACAGTGGTGTCTTATATAAACAACGAAGGCGGAAGCAAGTCTAAAAAGCTTCTCGAGCAAATTCGACCACTTCTTGCACTTCTAGACCAATTCAATACACACCTTCAGGCCCAGTACTTTCCAGGCAGATTCAATGTCGAAGTGGACGCTTTATCACGCCAAAAGGCTTGCCTCGAGTGGCACCTCACAATAGCGGCGACATCCAAAATATTTAGAATGTGGGGCACACCGGAGATAGACCTATTTGCGTCAAGTACTGCTCACGTGACCCCGAAGTATGTTTCAGTGAACATTAGGACAAGCAAGCACAACATCACAATGCATTTTGCCACCAGTGGCAGTACAAAGTAGCGTGGTTATTCCCACCACCCAATCTTATTCCCAGAGTCCTAAACCATTTAAATCAAGCCAGCGGAATATATGTATTAATTGCCCTGAAATGGAACAAGGTGTTTTGGCAAGCAGATGTTCAACGCCGAGCTCTACACCCCCCCTTATCGGATTCCAGACCTAGTTCATACTCTAGTAGACACGAGAACAGGCATACATCCACCACAGATTCAAGACTTGCTCTTGGAAGCATGGCTGATTTTGGGTGGCAAGATATGTTAACAGAATGGACGGATAAGGAACAGAACTTGTTAATATTAAGTTGGCGAGGCTCTACGATCAACACACATAAACCAGCTTGGAATAGATGGAAAAAATGGTGCGAGTCTGATTCGGTTAATTATATATAACCTAACCCAGAACAAGTAGCACACAGCACATACATTGTGATATAGGTCTTGCTTACAAAACAATTCTAGTATATAAATCTGTGATTTCAACATTCACTCGCTTAACTTTTAAAGGAGATTTATCTTCAAATTTCTTTATAAAACACATGTTAAAAGCAATATCTATGGCCCATACCAAACCGGTAAAGCCACCAATTTGGAATCCTAAGTTTCTTATGCAGTATATAAGTAAATATAATTTAAATGAAAACAAATCTGTATGAAGTATCTAGGCATACAGCTACATTATTACTTTTGGCTTCTAGTCGGAGAGTTCATGACCTCGCTTTGTTGCATATTGACAATAACAGTTTAATAGACGAACAAAGTAGCATAATCTTATGGAGGCTTAAAGAACATCTTGAGTGTACAGACTGAACCCACCAACCAAAAAAAACGTATATATAAATAATTACGCCCGCACCCGACATAAAAATTTGAATATTATTTTCTGGATAAGACAATTATTAAGGATATCTAAAAATCATAAGAAAGGCTATAAATCATTTATTTATTACAGCTAGAGGTGACGCTAAGCCAGCATCCCGTACTGTAATTGCTGGGTGGGTAAAATCGCTTTTGAGATAGGCGGGTATTGAAGCTACTCCTGGTTCAGTAAGATCAGCAGAAAAATTTTCTCTAGATAAAATCCTTGCGACGGGTAATTGGAAACTGTGCATACATTTCAAAATTACTATAAAAAAGAACTAAAGGAAATTGCGGCAAATAATTCTGTATCTTTATCAAATTATTTTGATGCCATTAATTTATTCATAGAGCAAATATCATATTAGTTTGATTTATTATTGTAATTAACAAAATAAAAATAAAAAATAAAATAAAAAAAATTCTGTGGATCGCACATCACAAACTATAAAGCGTAGACAGTTTCTCTGTCTACGCTATAAAGAGTACTAAAGTAATCACCATGAAGTATAGAGGTAAGGAGGAAAATCTAGTTTTTACGGAATTTATCGCGTATATTTAACTTTTTAAATACCCGACGTAAATTTTTGTTTCAGAGAGCACGAGGGATCTGTGACAGTAAACACCTGGCTGCCGAGCTCCACCATGTCAAGCAAGTTTTACATGACAACAAGCTTCGAGTCCCGCGCCTACGTCACAGTGAACGAGTGAAGCCGGCCACAGTCGAGCGTGTACCTGCTGTACTGCCATATGTTAGAGGAGTCACTGACAAGATTGCTACATCTTGAAGCGCGCTTCCATCAAAACATACTTCAAGCCGCTGAAGAAGATTGGTCAGTTTTACCATCAGTCAAGTGTAATGTCCCTCTGCAAGATGCAGGAGTGTACAAGCTTGATTGTGAATGTGGTCTCTCCTACATAGGACAAACTAAAAGATCAATAAAAACACGCGTTAAAGAACTTATAGCTGATGTGAAGAATCGACGCTCCGGGAAGTCTGCAGTCTGTGAACACGTACAGGATCGCCCCCCGTCACTACATCAGATTTGATAGACCGCAAATCCTCGCTAAATAACACCGATTCCTTCCAAGGATGATTCGCGAGGCTATTGAAATCAAAAAACATCCTAATTTCAATAGAGAAGATGGCTGGGTGCTACCATCTGCTTGGGATCCTATAATAAATAAAATTAAATCCCAACCCAAGCATACAACTGCAAGACTTCAAGATACCATAAGTTCATACTGTATAGATCGGAACAAAAGTTAAATTTTAATCTATGGTAACCGCGGTTACTTATTGTTTACTATGACATATGGACGTTGAACATCTCAGTCCCGCCCGTGACCATGAGTGCTGTAAAGCGTTCGAAACGTCGGATATTTAAAAAGTTAAATATACGCGATAAATTCCGTAACAACTAGTATTATTTCAAAGGACAATCTACCATAGGAGAATAGTTGAAAATGTATCCATCTGTAAGCAGTAAATAACAGTTCAAAAACTCTACACAACAGCGCTCGAGTAGCTACAGGGGCTAATATTTCCAATATGGACCATCGATTTCAAAGCCCATATTTTTTTTGTAGATAGTACTCACTAAAAGAAAGCGTTTTGCAAAGTTTTAGGTTGCGGAAACTTACGGTTCATGAGATATATTTTTTTAAACTTTTCATACAAATTGGTAAATAACACACAATTACAAAATAAATTTGACAAATGATTGATGTCAAACGTCAGTTAGTGTAGGGTTCCGAATATTTTGAAAGTATCGATACCTACTCGATACCAAGTATCTTATCAAAAGTATCAATACTACTTGGTATCGAGTACATTTCGTTAATTTTGGAGACGAAAAATTATGACAAACCAATTAGATGCATAGGAAGAGCTGATAAGTGCAATTATATATGTATATAAAGTAGAATAAAGTTTACACTATTTAAGTTCCACCTTAGTATTTGTATTTCATTGTTTGCAACTTGTTTGTATTTCTTAATTAGTACAGTTTTTGTACTTTTATTTTATTGTTTGCAACTTTCTGTATTATCTAATTCTTACTACAATAAAGTGTTTACTTACTTATTGACTTACTTATTTAATATCCAAAAAAAGTACCCAAAACCGAATCAGAGCACTCCACTATCCACGTGGTCTTGTCTGCCCTACCCCTAGAGTGTATATAAGAGCCCGGAGGCGCGGAGGGAGAGCAGTGCCCGCCCGCCGTAGGGAAGCGCAGGCACCGAGATCGCCGTAGCGGCTGAGGCTGGTCGCCGAAGGCGACCAAAAAGCCGAAGCTATGAAGGCGAGCTCAGGTGCCTGTACTTCCCTACGCTAGGGCGGAGGCACTGCTCATCCCGCAGCGCTGGAGCTGCCACGGAGCGCCGGAGCCCAACTTCCCGGCTTCTTACCCCCCTAGTCTCCAAAATTAACGAAATGTACTCGATACCAAGTTGTATTGATACTTTTGATACGATACTTGGTATGGAGTACGTATCGATACTTTCAAAATATTCGGAACCCTACACTAATTGACGTTTGACATCAATCATTTGTCAAATTTATTTTGTAATTGGTGTAATTGCGTGTTATTTGCCAATTTGTATGAAAAGTTTTAAAAAAATCTATCTCATGAACCGTAAGTTTCCGCAACTTAAAACTTTGCAAAACGCTTTCTTTAGTGAGTACTATCTACAAAAAAAATATGGGCTTTGGAATCGATGGTCCATATTGGAAATATTAACCACTACAGGGATAAATCATAAGATAAATCATAAGGATAAAGCACCGTAAAATACGTTGAATGATTTTATAATAAAAATTTTGAAAGAATTATTGTAGAAAGAATTATGGTCAAAGTCTGTGCAATAAAAAATTATAAAAAGTTCTTTAAAATTTAGACTGTAGCTATAGTGGCGCCACCCTTATTTAGCGCTTTCCTACGGACACTTTTTTTTATACAGAGGGTGCGTTTGGCAGAAAAAAGCGCTAGCAAGCGTTTGTAAGCAAAATGGCGATCGTAAGCGGTAAGCGCTGTCAAATCGTAAGTAGCTATTTTCCTCCAGGACACGATGTTAGTTTTAACCGGGGAACCTAACCTAATTTAAATATATGTTTGTAAAGTATTCATATTAAAAACTTAACAATCATGAATTTTTAATAACATGTATATGTTTATTCACGTTATTATATTACTTAAAAGTAATATTGCACAAAACAACTTAAAAACTCTACTTCAAAACAAACAAATTAAATAAGCAAAATGGCGGATTGTGTCAGCGCTACTGAAGTAGTAATCGTGTTCTGGCCGAAAACTATTTCAGCGCTTGTAAGCGCTTGCTAGCGCTTTTTTCTGCCAAACGCACCCAGAGTCTTCACTCCTTACCTCTACACTCCATGGTAATTACACATCACGCTTCATCTATGGTTGACTCTTTATTTTCTCCACTCTGATTTCGCCTGTCAAAAAGTTTTAACTTTTGTGATGATCGAAGGTTTTCTACAAATAAATTACAGAATTTATTGTTTGTGTTGAATTATTTATCATAAAATTAAAATGTCAATATGTTCGTAATTGTTTAGTTATTCTGATATAACTGTTTGTAATACATGAACATAAATTTCGGATTTTAATGAGTTGATTGTAATGAAGTTTACATTCCGTATCAATGACTTTAAATCGTGAAAATGTATTTAGAATAGCTAGAATTAGGTGAAGTGTAAAGTTGTACTTTTGCGCTACCAATAATTATTTATACTAAGGCCCCGTTCGTTGTTGAAATGGCAGAAAATTCATCTTTTGTTGCTAAACCGGCGAGGGGCTGGCTCCATCCAGACTCAATTCTAGCCAGTGATGGTATAACTTACGCCGTAAGAGTGAGTAACCAGTGTGATAATTTTGATTCATTAATTTATATATGCATATATCGTTATGCAATGTATAAATGCATAACTTTGATTTTATATTTGCCTGAAATTGGGTTTTTATTTTCAGTACATAGGCTGTATGGAAGTATTAACTTCAATGAAAAAGTTAGATTTCGATACTCGATCCCAAGTTGCAAAGTAAGTTACACAGTTTTTCGTTTATGTAAACCATTTTATCAACTGTTGAAGAATACTCATCGGAAATTTTTCTTAACCAATTCTCTTTTAACTGTCTTATTGATAGTTTTTCTAAAGAACTAAAGATAAATATAGCATGTGTCTTATTACTCTTAAGAAAAATTAGCAAATTATAGTATGACTGAAAGGAAAAAAATATTTCAGTCTTGGGCTTATATATAAGGAATGTAATTTTAAGTAACACTGATCAGTGTGCCAACTATTAAACAATACAATCACATCATTCAAGTTACAAATTAAAATTTTACTAATGATTGTGTAATTAATAAATGGTATATATGGTAGAGCCACAGTGCAGGGTATTATGGCTGAATCATGAATGAATTGACTCGACTGGAGAAGGACCATGCATGCACAGAAATTGTTAATGTTGAAGACATTTTTTTTTCTGAAAAATTATATAAAATCGCATAGATAGATAATATAATCTGATAAAACAAGTAGTTAATACCTATTAGCAAAAAAGAATACCAGTATTAATGCTGCTGTGTTTATAATGGTAAGCGGCAAAACCAGGGTAAGCGGCAAAACCAGTGGCTCTTACTAGTAATGAGGCATTCAGAGTCCTGAGGAGTGCCACATCTGCATTTTAATTCAGAGATATAATAATTGCAAAGATACAATACTAGACGTAGGTATAGCACCTACTTACCAGTGAGTGGACAGTGTTCTTGTTTGTCACCATTACTTTAAAAAAATTGGATGACCCTGCAGGCCATCCCTGGTACTTCCCGCAAATCGCTTCAAATTTCACCAAATTATGTTGCGAAATCTCAAAGTTGTGTTAATTTTTTGAGGTTAAGGTCTGATTAGTTTTTGAAATCAATCAGTGAAGCCGTTTAAAAGTTTTACCAAAAAATAGTTTTTCAAAATTTTTATTTTTGAGATTTCTCAAAATCTACTTACTAGTCCGAATGAGTTCATATTATCACCAAATCTATACCACATAATGATCTTTAGAAACCGCATCTCAATCGATCAAGACGTTCAAAAGTTCGAAAGGTTTACATACATTCGCAAGCGCGCGCACACACACACACCCATTCGGACGTTCACGTAAAATTATTCAGAATAGCTTCCTGGGATCTCAAAATGTCTAGATCTGATGAAAACTCGATTTTCGAAAATTGGGTTTAAACCAATAACTTCCCTCTTTTAGAAAATTTTCAATTTTCTTAGTGGGATGTAAAAAAATCTTCTAAACTTTACCATTCACTCCATTTTTTATGATTTGGAGCTGAATAAGAGTTAGATATTTCAGCATGGATCAATGGTTTAGACATTTAATAAAAAATAATTACTTAAAATTATACTATTATCTGATATCAGAAGTTAGAAGTAAATGCTGGAGTAATTTCTTAATGCAGGTTATTACTTTTTACATCTTTAATAATTAATACCTATAATAATAATTATATTTGAATACTTTAGTGAAATACTTCACTGCTAATTTGTAAAATGTTAAAAGTCAATCGACAAGCTAAAGTCAATCAAGGACCGAGGGCTATCTCCAGGGTTTATTTATTACCATGATAAAATTTATAATGATAATAAGGATGAGCAAACATGTCTCTTCAAAGTAGCCGCATATATGGCAAGCACATTATATGTTGACCTTCACTAGATGAAGCGGTAACTTGATGAGACATATAGGGATGGATACGAGTGACTCAAGATTGCAATTTGTGTGTGTAATCTATGAGAGAATGTCTTTATTTTGTAGTAGTACTTACATTACATTATGTTATTGTTTACAGAGAATGTATAGCCCGAGTTTGTGCTGCAGCAGGCTTAAGATCAGCTGATAAAAAGCGGCGTATTAGCCAAGCGGCCGCTTGTGCACTTGCAGCCAAACCACGAATGTCTCATTCAGGCTCTAATGTTGCACTTACAATATCCTCGAAAGCTATTACAATAGCCGCTCTAGAAGGCGGGGACACCATTGCACGTCATGACATGCCACGAGTTTCATTTGCATCTGGCGGTGACTCAGATTCTTTAGATTTTGTTGCATATGTAGCAAAGGCAGCACCTCCCACTGAATGGCGAGCGTGTTATGTACTAGAGTGCGGTGGAATGTTAGCGCAAGATGTGATTGCAACCATTGGACAAGCTTTCGAATTACGATTCAAAGAATTTCTAACAAAACCCTCATCGTAAGTTATCACTAAAAATTATTTACTACTTTTCCTTGTATGATGTAATACCTTTATCATTATTAGTAATGTATGTATGAATAATCATTTGCTCCTATTATTTTTTAACACATTTTCACATGAAGTCTGGTATGTTATATCTATTTCATTTAATATGAACCACCACAAGATTTTTAAAAACTATATATAAAGTAATATGTGTATCCAATTGCATATTATAGACAATTCTAAAAGGCATTTAAGGTTTTGAAGTATTGGTTTATTTTTATCCTAATAATATTGTTAGCTATTACAAAAAACAGCACTTACAAAAAATAGTTGATTATTATTTACTTATTTTTTAAAAAACATTTTAAAACACCCACTTTAGAATTTTTTCTGTGCGGGTTCGAACCCGTGACCTCCAGCGCAGCAACTCACTAAGCCATAGCACCATGAAGCCGTCAATTTACTATATCCCTATCTTTGTCTTTTTCTATTGTAATTAATTGAAGAGAGAGAGAGAGAGCAATTTTAAGCATTTCTTAAATTGATTTTAGTACAGTATATATGTATAATTAGAACTTTACAATATGTCATTATACATTGTTTCTTCCTTATAAATGTACTGTGATGTTGTTTGATAACAATTAAAATATGGCAATAAAACAATTCAGTTACTTTCATATTTAGACATTATAAATGTATATTAATTCTATGTACAGTCTTCATTTCTGCTGACATATTAGGTCTGAGTTTGAGATTACCTATATTATTAAATATGTAATATTACATTTTTATTAAAATTCGATTATGGCAATTGAAGGCACACATAGAAAGACACACAATTCATTACTCAATTCATTCACCCTGTTTTCCTTACGTTAATTCCAGATATAGTCATACATTTCACACAATACCTCAGTATGAATGCTTTAACTATAATAATCAGATTGATTTCTGAGTTTAGAGACATTGTAAGATATTTTGTACAACACTGTAAATTGTTGAACCTGAGTATAACAATTACAGCATACTTTAAAAATTATATGAGGGGTTAACAACAATTTTTGATAACTTTTTTATATTTACAGGTTGAACCTTAATGGCTCACGTCCGCTGTGCTCAGGCGATGCACCAACATCGACAGCGGCGATGGACGATCGTGAATATTACAATGATTTGCCCGACAAAATCCCGCCAGATCCCACACCGACGTATCGTCATCCCCCTCCACCACCATTAGCCTCTCTAGCACCTATATCATCGTAAGTATCTCTCCATATAATCTGGAGGTGGACTGAAATAAGAAATAAACAATTGAACACAGTGTCCTCTGTTAGACACGAGCCTCTGGTAAATAAAACAGAAATGCCATAATCATAACACTAGGTAGATCGGTGATTATGGTATGGGACATCTCTGCTCCCTGTGACTCATTTGGCATAATTTATAACATTTCTACATGATGTAGATAATATCTCCTGATCTTCTTACTGAATTTAGACGATGCTGATGCTTATTTTTGCTGTTATAAAAACGTTACACCACAGTAGTATATTCTCTTAAATTGTGGAGGCATTTTACACACAAATTGCACATAGACATAATAATTAAATGTAGGCCACAGAAAGACTTCTTCCTAAATAATATAAATAATGCAAATGCAATGCAAAGAATTATGAAGTTATCTATATTTCATTACAACCTGTATAGCTTTTTATCACTAATTTAAATTCGAATCTTTCAAACAAAGCAAAATATTAAAAAATTAATCAGTATAAATTTTTTTACTTGACGTCGTTTCAATGATATGTCCCTATAGACCATACCGTAGTGTAAGATGATTAAAATTAATTGTTATGCGAATAATCGGCAAAAATATTCAAATTATCAGTAAAAATATTCAAATAATCGAATGATTAATTTTTTTTGTGTATTATTTGTTTAAAATTTTTTAAATTTTTAAAATTCCTTAAATTACATGAATCATGAGTAAAATAAGTTTATTTTTTTACTTTGTCAACTTAAATTTGTGTAGGCAAAATAACTCATAATATACAAGGCTGCGCTGAAAAAATTTTACGTAATTTCAATCACCCGCCATTTCGGGAGCTTACTGTGCGTAATTTTGTGATTTTTTGTTTGTCTTCTTATTTTATGACCTGGCTTTAACTTTTTGGACTGTTTCTTCTACATTCGTTGAAGCATGTGCCCATGTCAGAAAGGATAATTGGGCAAAAGTGGTAGAAAAAACAAAAAAAAATGGTTGACTCTGCAGGCCATCCCTGGAACTACCCGCTAATTGCTCCAAATTTCACCAAATTACGACGTTGAATATGAAATATCTGAGTAATTTAAAAAATCTAGTTTTTCAAAATTTTTCTTCAACGATAGACATCCTATGAACAAATTAACAGATTGTGACCGAACGGGCGGCGATCGACGTGGTTTTTCAAGGTTAAAAGCTGATTAGTTTTTGGAATCGATTGGTAAAGCCGTTTAAAAGTTATTCCAAAAAACAGTTATTCAAAATATTTATTTTTGATATTTCTCAAAATCTACCTAAAAAATTTATTAAAATTCATAGAAAATCTAAGTTTAATGAAACACTTTTTAAATCCGCTTAGTTCATTTCAATCGGTCAAGCCGTTCAAAAGTTATAAGAGGTTTACATACATCCACTCACAAACACATACACATATACACACACACACACACACACACACACACACATACATACATACACATACATACGCCTACATACATACATACAGAATACAGGCACTATCGAAAAATTGTCAGGGTGGCTTCCGGTGACCACAAAACGTCAAGATTTGAAGAAAACTCAATTTTCTTAGCGGGAAGTTATAAATGATGACTTTGAAAGAGACATTAATTTTGACTGCATTATTGAAAATCAAATAATATTTAATTTAAATTATTTATTTAAATTAATTTACATTTAGTCCATCTTTTTTTCTAAACCCAGGATTCCCTTTGAAAAAAATTCTTTGTCTTGACCCTCCTAAAACGCTTCAACAGCGTCCATTACTTCGCTATAGTCTTCGAATTTCTTGCCTCGGAATCGTTCCTTGAACCGAGGAAAGAGGTAGAAGTCACTAGGAGCTAGATCTGGCGAAAAGGGAGGGTGCTCGAGCAGTTCGAATCCCGTTTCTTGAATGGCAGCCATCGCAACTGCGGCTTTGTGAGCCGGTGCGTTGTCTTGGTGAAACAGCACTCCAGCTCGCAGTTTTCCGCGTCTTTTTATCCTTAATGGCCTCCCGTAATTTTCTTATTTGGTCTGCGTAGTAAGAGCCCGTAATAGTAGCTCCCTTTTCCAAATATTCGACCATAATTATGCCTTGAGCGTCCCAAAAAACAGATGCCATAACCTTTCCCACCGAACTTGAAACTTTGAATTTCTTTGGCGTCGGTGAGGAGGCTCGCTTCCATGTCATCGATTGTTTTTTCGTTTCAGGATCAAATTGGTGGATCCAGGTCTCGTCCATAGTCACAAAACGGAACAAAAAAATTTTCTTGATCTGATTGGAACTTTTCGAGATTGACCCTCGAAATGTCAACTCGATTTTTCTTTTGCTCGTCGGTTAACATTCTGGGTCCCCAACGCGCAGAGACCTTTTTCATATGCAACTCGTTCGCAAGGATTCTTTGAACGCTGCCATATGAGATCCCTGTGATCTCAGCGACATGCCTGATGGTCACTCTTCGATCTGCCAACACAACATCTTCGACTTTTTTCACGTTGTCTTCAGTGAGGGACGTGGATGGGCGTCCTTCGCGATGTTCATGTTCAGTGGATGTTCTGCCCAGTTTAAACTCCTTGGCCCAGCGTGCAACTTTAGAATATGGAGGAGCAGAGTCCCCCAATGTTTCCACTAAGTCACTGTATATGTCTTTTGAAGACATTTTTTTCAAACAGAGGTACTTGATGACAGCTCTAATTTCGTTTTTCTCCATGTTGATGTTATCTCTTTGACAGTTCGTATTCAAATGAACTGTATCTCCCGGAAATCTTGATCTATTTATGTGATTTTTTTAGGCTGACGTAGTGAGTATATAAGCAAGCAAAAAATATTTTTTTTTTGGATTTTTGTGCAGACCTGAAGTAACCGATTATCATTACTTTTGGATCACCCCTCGTATAGTCTTGTAGGTGTCATTCGAGGCAACAGGGGCTAACAAATCACAAGATGGACACCAGTGTCTTTGTAGTAACCACTTGAAAAAAGAAAAAACTAGACAGGCAGGCAGGCAAGACTGCCTGCCTGTCTGTCAAGCATGGTGATTATAGCAGATATCTCCTTATGAGGCATTCTATGAGGAAGGCCTTAGTTTCAGCAGTGTGCTTTTGATAGACTAATAGTAATGGACGAATATACGAGTTATGCAGTCAGTTGCAACAATTTAATTGATAAAATCGGTTACCTAGCTTACGCGGATCCCAGATGTGAAAGATCATGTACCTTCCCTATTGGATTTTCTGCTGACCTCTCATCCGGACGGATATCAGATCTCCGTTGATGCCCCTCTTGGCTCCTCGAACCATTATCTGATCCGGAGTACTGTGCCGCTCACGCTCCCATCGCGGTTGCGTACTGCAGGTTGCCGCCGTGTTTGGCATTATACGTCAGCCGATTGGGACGGGATGCGATCTTTTTTTGCATCCTACCCTTGGAGGCGGGTTTGCTTCTCGCCGAATGATCCCAGCGTTTTTGCTGATTCTGTCGCTGATGTGGTGCTACAGGGAATGAAACTTTTTATTCCATCATCTGTGGTACCTGTCCGAAACAAAATTGCATTACGTCATAAGCAGGAGTGACTGGGCTCGCGCATCGCCGTCTCGGGATGCAAATACCAGCGCTCATAAAAAGAAGTATAATTCTGCTTCCAAGTCTTTCAAAAACGTCATTGTCAAGGCAAATTCAGAACACATTGACAGTATTGGCGAGAAAATAGTTTGTCTTCCTTCAGGAACACGTGCATTTTGGTCTCTCGCCAAGGCTGTCCAAAGGAATTTCTGTCAGTCATCTCTTCCATCTCCGCACAGAGAGGACGAATCACTGTCCCATGCCGCAAATAACAAAGCCCATCTACTGGGCTCTCTCTTTGTGTCCAACTCGACTCTTGATGACTGGGGGAACACACCGCCGACACAACCGCTCTGATCCGTCCAACTATAAAGCCTATCGCCATCACCTCCTTGTTCTCTAAAATAATGGAATTCATTATTAACAGCCAGCTCATGCGGTACCTTGAGGATCACCAGCTGATAAGTGACCGCCAGTACGGTTTCCGTCGCGGTCGCTCGGCTGGTGATCTTCTGGGTTACCTAACTCGTAAATGGGCAGAGGCAGTAGAGTCCAAGACATTGGCCGTTAGTTTGGACATAGCGAAGGCCTTCGATCGGGTTTGGCACAAAGCGCTTCTTACGAAGCTTTCTTCCTATGGGCTTCCCGAGAAATTAAGCAATTGGATTACCAGTTTTCTTACTGATAGGAGCATCAAGGTCATAGTAGACGGTGCATGCTCCGATTACAAGCCCATTAACGCTGGTGTTCCACAAGGCTGCGTGCTATCACCAACGCTGTTTCTTCTGCATATCAATGACATGTTGTAAACCGGTAACATTCATTGCTATGCAGACGACAGCACTGGTGATGCTTTATACACCGGCTGATATTTGTGCCAATATTTCTCGGGAAAACGCCGAGTATTGGGACAAACTTGTCTGAAGTCGAGACTGTTGAACAAAATCTGACTGAGGGCGACTAAATCTAGTCCAGCTTAATCCCCAGAAGACACATCGTCGTATCTCCTCAGTTTCAAGGCACTCCCCCTGTTGCCTCAGCCAGTATCGGAATCCTCTGCATCGACATATTAAGCCAGCCAAGGTTTTCATAGGCCAAATTGGCCTATGAAAAAAAATGCTTGGCGTGCTCAGCAGAGCGGGACAGTATTTCATACCGGGTCACCGCCTGCAACTTTACAAGGCGCAGGTTTGGTCGCATATGGAATACTGTTCCCATCTCTGAGCTGGGGCTCCCCAGTGCCAGCTTCTTCCATTTGATCGCATCCAGCGCAGAGCAGTTAGAATCGTTTGTGACCGAGCCCTCTCCGATCCGCTTGGCTCGCTGGCACTGCGAAGATATGTTCCATCTCTTTCTTTCCGTATTTTATCGCATCTACCACGGGTAGTGCCCTGAGGAATTGTTCGGACTAATGCCATCCGCACAATTTCACCATCGCACATCGCGACAACACTCGCGATACCATGACATCTGGATGACTGGTGTGCACTGTGCGATTTAAAAGAAGTTTTCTTCCTCGCACAACTTACTTGTGGAGTCATTTAGCACGAGATTTTTCCGGACCGATACGACTTAGGAACTTCAAGAAAAGAGTTATTCCTAAAAAGGCCAGCAACGCATCTGCAATTCCCCTGGTGTTGCAATTGTTCATGAGCAGCGCAGTCACTTACCATCAGGTGAGCCGTTTGCTCGTTTGCCTCCTCCCCTATAAAAAAAAAACTCAACATGCTACTGGTATTGTGTAAATAAGTTGAATGAAAATTCGAACAAAAGATGCTTCTGATTGCTGGTGGCTTGGTTAACACTTTCTTATTTGACATATTTATTTATTATATTTCAGATGCGAAGAAAGTGTCCGACACTACGTGAATCAAACGCCTCCGCCACGGACTCCACCTACAGCTTTGCTACCCAACCATCACACGGATATTTTTGATATGCGTGAGTTACTACATAGCCACTATTATAATAAAACCATACAAAAAAAATTATTATTAGATGACAAGATCATTTTCTTGATAACAACTCAAAGTGAGTTTCATAATCAAAGTGGGTGCCATAAGAGGTGATATAAGGGAACAAACCAGGAGATGGGCAGCAGCATCTTTTTAAAAACAACTAAAAATATAAGAACTGCAGTTGTCAAATTACCTGCCAAGCATGGCCAACCTGGCAACTATGGAAAATATCGGGATATGAGGCAATGTATAGGAAGGCTCATGATGCTTTGATAGGTTGTTGTAATGAATGAATGAAATAAACAGTCTACATAACATTAAATGGATATTGTTCTGACATTATGAGCGATCTCCAAGGCGCGGTGACTTTGTCCGAGTTGGGAAGGCGCGAAGAAGGACGGAGGCTGGTTGCGGCATAGCTGGGTGAAACAAACACGTCAGTGAGGTTCACAGGGAGGCCAGATCTAAGTTCAATGATTGTGTGGTAGACCCAGGTCAGGTTTTCTTTACTAAAAAATGTGTGATAACAGATTAGTGTTCAGGACCAGATAAAGATGGACGTTCTTACTGTGAAACATGGCAAAGGACATTTTCGCGGCGTCTTTTTTTATAGGATAGGGTGACAAACGAGCACACAGTCCACCTGATGGTAAGTGGTTGCTGTGGCCCATAGACATCTACATCTATCCTCGATTACGAATCAATATGCAGATGCGTTGTCACCCGTGAGGACTAAGAAGGAATGCCTCGTTTCCAGTAAAAAGGGTCTCCGGTTCTCTACAGTCACCATACAAAACACAGCAGCATTAAGCTACTATTTTGCGCTGTTATTCTGTAAGAGCGTGGTACTACCCCGGTCGAGCCGACCAATTCGTGCTACAACTATACTACTAATATAACTGCAGCATGGCTCTACCACGTAAAAAGCCTTCTGGAAGGGCACCAGTAAAATAAATGTACGACCTGGCCTTCTTGTGAGTGTCGATGGCATGAACAATCCCAAGGAGATTGCAAAATTTTTCAAGAACTATTTTGCTGCAAGGTCTCTGTTGGATCCGGTTGTGGAAGTGTTCAGCACTGACTTGAACACAAACAGTGGGGACTAGTTCCCTGGCAAAAGACGTAACTAAAGCTATAGCAGATACGTCAGGAGGCAAGTCTCCAGAACATGATGGACTTAGTATTATGCACTTATAACATGGCGGACCTCACATAGCTAGGGTCTTGGCTATATTCCTACTCTGTGTGTGAGCCGTTCCTGCCCGCGGATGTTATGAAAACTGTTGGTACCTATAGTGAAGACTGAAATGAGTGATTAACTGACAAGAGTAACTATAGGCCTATTTCTCTCGCCACTGTAATTGCAAAGGTGTTTGATGGTTTGCTCAACACACAGTTAAATAAGCATATAACACTCCATAATAACCAGTTCGGATTTCATCCTCGGTTATCCGCTGAAAGAGCCATATTGTGTTTAAAGCAAGCTGTCAAATATTATACTGATCGTAAGACGCCCGTGTACACGTGTTTCCTCGACTTATTCAAGGCCTTTGACCTGGTGGCACATAACCTGCGAGCGTAGGTTTGCCACAAGAAATCAGCTACTCCAATACTGGTACGAAAATCCAACAGTGTCAGGTATCGGATCCGTATCAACATGAGTGTGGAGTCCGGCAAGGCAGCTTAACATCACCAACCTTATTTAATCTTTATATCTGTTTCTATTTAATCTGTATATACTGATCATAGCGCTTAGTAATCAGCATGTCGGCTGCCACATTGACAGTTTTTGTGTCGGTAATCTGAGCTATGCGGACGACATGGTGCTGCTAAGTGCGTCGGTCTTCGGCCTGAGGAAGCTGGTACGGGTATGCGAGGAATGTACATGTGGCGACGGATTATTATATCATGTCAGGAAGCGTCAATACATGATCTTTAAGTACGGGGATTAAATTAAATAGTGTAACCCTGGAAAGGGTTTACCAGAGTCAACCCCTCAAACCCCTTAAAAATCCCGTGCAGTCGCATGCGCCCGGCAAATCCCGAGCGATCGCAAGCGACCGTACCCACCCACAGCACTTAAATCCATTAAAACTTATATTTAGAGACTACTTTTCTAAGAAGAAGCTTAGCATTATAAAATCTATACAAAATTCTATATCTTGTGGTCTAAATAAAAGTCGGGTATTACTTCATTACAAAAATAATTTATTATAAATAAATAAATAAATTAATTCTCTTTATTTCAGGCACATATCACCCATATAAATTACCAACAAAAAAGAAAAGACAATGCAGTACAGAATTACTAACAATTAAAAATAATTATATTATAATAATATCCAATTAAAAATAATTATATTATAATAATATCTAAGTCTAAATGGAGGGAACCATCACGTCAAGCAGCTATCTTAAGCCATTTTTGATAAAAGGCTGTGGCCGGCAGTCTTTCCGCAAACTCACTAATTATCCTGTTTCTACACTCACCAACCCTGGACATGAATGATGCGATTCTGAATCTTTGAATGGCATTAAACGTATTAATTCGTGCTTCGGCAAACATGCCTGAAGCACTGCAATAGCGTTTGAGACCCATAAGCATTCTAAAGATGTTATTATATTGCACACGAATACCATTCAAAGATCGCCCCGCATATTCAGTCCAGAGCTGGCAGGTGTAGAAAGACTGACAGTACGTTTGGAAGAGCATAATCTTAACCTCCTTAGAGGCTTTAACAAACCTCCTGGCAATCATATTGCCACCGACAGACAAAGCTCTTCTCTGTCGTTCTATATCGCAATCATCTTTTCTGTTCGTTGTCACTATGTGACCGAGGTATTTGAACGTTTGAACTATTTTAACCGGTTGACCCGCCACGTGCACCTCAGGTACATTAGTTGGGCCCTTGCCTGCCTTAAAAATCACCATTTCCGTCTTTTTTTGCGTTATAAATTAAACTATGATCTTTAGCATATTTTTCGCATATGGATATTAATTTCCGCATACCTTTGATTGTAGGGCTGAGCAGAACCATATCGTCAGCGTAACTTAGGTTGTTAACATAACGGTTGCCAAGCCTAAGTCCGACTGGGGTTCTGCTCAGCTCCACGATCAAGTCATTCACATAGATGTTAAAGAAGTCGGGTGAGGTAAGCCCCCCTGCCTTACTCCACAAGTCAGCGAGTATTCATCGGATAGAGAGTCACACCATTTTACATTATTGATCTGTCTCTCATACCAATAAGTGAGCAGGTCAACAATACCAGCAGGAACGTTATTAGATCTTAGCTTCTTCCATAGCAGATCATGATTCAAGGTGTCGAAAGCGCGACTCAAATCAAGAAAGCAGGCATATACACTAGTATCGCGATCAACATAGTAATTTACTACTTGTTTTAAGGCAAAAATAGCCAATCTGTAGATAGCTCTGGTCGAAAACCAAACTGACCATCGTCAATGCACATGTAGGGTGTAATTTTGGCTTGAATCAAACGCTCAAATACCTTGGCCACAACAGTGGCAAGAGATATAGGTCGGTAATTAGCCATGCTTGCGAGATCTCCAGTCTTACACTTCGGAAGCGGCACCACAATGGTACGTAATAGATTATTTGGCAGGTATGAGTGGCGCATGCATAAGTTAAATAATGCAGAGAGGACTACACAAATATACTGACCGGCATGCAACAGATGCTCTATACTCAGGTAGTCACATCCCGGAGACTTTCCCCTTTTCATACCACGTAAGACGGATACCACATCCTCCTCTGTAACTAGGCAGTTCTCGAAATTTAGCTGAGCATAAGATGTTTCTGTACTCAACAAGGTATGATTCTGAGTAGTTAATTGGGGTGTATCTTGCTCATTTTTCATGTCAACATTAAAATTATTTTTAAAAAGGTTGGCTATCTTTGTGTGATTCACCTCACCCTGGATACTAATAGGACGACCCGCTTTAGGATTTAATTTCTTCACCTCCTTCCAAAATTGTCCAAATTTTTTCGATTTATTATTTCGGGCCAATATATCTAACTTTATCTTTTCTTGATGATTTTGAATGAATTTAAGTGCGGATTTAAATTCCTTATGAGCAGAAGACATTTCATTATAATAATAACCAGAAGATGGTTTGCCAACAGCAACCCAGACACTAAACTTTAATCTAGCCTTAACATGTAGACGCCTCACGTGATAGTTCCAACCAGTCACAAATGGCTTTTTATCTTTTATTTGCCTATAACTATTCTCTGCACTAGTCTGTAATATCTTAATAAAATTATTATAAAATTCATTTATTGAAGTACAATGGTCACTATTCTTACAAACTATATCACAGTTACACATAATATTATTATTAAAAACATTAATTTGTCTTAAAAGATTATTTAAATTAAAATCGCATAAGGTACTATATATCCGAATTTCCGCCGAATCTCTATTGCCCCATACTATCTTTGGCTTGTTACTAGGTAAATTAGCCACTTCTATAGGTATAATTGTACTAATAGTCCACTGAACAAGTAACGGAAAGTGATCCGACGAGTAGACGTCATATAATACACACACACTACTCACTGCGCTAGCGGCGGCCGCAGTCACTATGCAGTGGTCGAGCCATCGACATGTCCCGTGCGCATCGCTTACAAACGTGCGCGTGTCGGATTCCTTACCTAGAACATCGATGTCAACACAACTTAATGACTGCTCATGACAGTAATTTAATAGTTCGTTTACGAAAAGTGAACCCGGGTGGGCATTGAAGTCACCTAGAACAAAAACTGATTCTATATCCGCACTTTCTATCACTGCACTAATATTTCCTAAACAGGTTGTAAACTCCGCTAGGTTGTCGTCACTGTTCGTAGGCATATAAACACTAAGAACGAGCACATGTCTATTTCCTTGGCTTAGCTTCACAGCACACATCCTGTTATTATAGCAAGGTATGACCTCCGCACTCGGAAATATTCGCTTATTCCATAGAAGTGCTACACCACCATAGGGTCTTCCGCGGATTAGTCCTTCGGACGTGTCAATGGCCGATACTCCACAGGATTCAAATTCTGAATCTATAGTATTAAGAAAACCTAGATCGTGTGGGAAAACCAGGTTTCCTGGAGTGCCAGCAAGTGGTATTTTTTACACAACTCTCTTATTTGAACAAGAGATCGTTTAACTGATTTACAGTTGAAGGAAATAAATGATATATCGGACTTATCCATATTGTTTATTAGTAATTTTGTTCTCATTCCTTGGTTCTCTTTGTACGGGGCGATACCCACGCTCTCTAAACTTTCTAAAAACAATTCCCGCAGGCCAAAATTGATCCCCCTCATCATTCAAAAAGAGATCAGCCTTATGAAGCGGTACTGTGATTTTAAAGGCATTAAAACTATTTTCGTACGTATTAATTTTAGTAACTACCGTTTCCAGTTGAGTCTTGTACTTAATAAAGCCAGCAATGTCATTCGCCGTACTATCTCTGTGTACTCGTGATATATACAGGGATAAGGTTCTTTCTGCTGCTTTGAAATTAAATTCGCTTATTGGATGCGCTTTTCCTTTTCTATTCTCTAGTCTCTTTTGACGTTTACTCGTCGCTGTAGTCCAGTTCCCCTCTTTTATCGGTTTTAGCGACAGAACGTGCGAATTGTTTACATTATCATTGTGTTCAGAAACGGTTAATAAATCACAATCAAGCGCAAATTTAGGACCCAAGTCAGAACCGTCCGCAACTTTAGCATAACTCGGTTGACTGGACAATTGTTTAGAATCTGTGCCGCTGGACTGTAGGACTGATTTATTGTTCGCTGCGCCTTGCGATGTCGTAGGTGAGCACGATGCCCTCACTGTGGGCTCTGGTGGAAGGGGAGCGGCCGGTGTGGACGCGTGCGAGCTTATCTTGGCTAACAGCGATTTCGGTCCACTTTTATTCTTAACTACCCGCCTTTCGGGAATCTTGTCCTCACAAGATATAGGAGACGAATATGTATCACAGGTTGCAGGGTTAAACCCAATTCTTTTTTCTTGCAGCTCCTTCAATGCAAGCTTAACATCAGCTAGATCTTTTTTGAGTGATTCCAGAGAGGAACTGTAGGGATTGGAGCTTGTGGGTAAAGCTGCGATCTCTTTTTTTAATAACGCCATATCCTTAAGGAACGTTGTCACATCGATGCTATCAAAAGTAACTGGCGGTAACTTGTTTAAATCCTTTGCCACAAAAACGGGCAGGCAGTCCGGCTCAAATTCTTTTATTAGCTTTATTATTTCCTGCAGACTATTCTTCTCACTCCCTTCCTTACGCCTAGTAATCCTTTTTTGTGGGGCAAGTAATTTATATACAGTTTGTCTTGCGAACTCGATATCGTCATAGGAGTAGGCACTCAAACATATTTGTATAAGTCCAAGCTCGGCTAATGTGTCAACCTTGTTCGCCACAAAAGCTAGTAATTCATTGATCACCATTTCACAGTCTGTGCACTTAGCTACACTGTTGTCACTTATTACTTTGTCGCGGTCGCGAGAAGCGGGAGGAGAGCGTAACATCGTGTAACGCGCGCGGTGTCCGCGACCGTACTGTATTGTATTTTGATAACAAAAAGAAAATATACCAATATAAAATCACAATTATTTCTATATATTACTCGAAATTATTTACGTAAATAGATAAATTATATTCACACAAAAACTTTCATCACAATTTTATAATAAAACACTGTACTAAAACACTAGAAAAATCCAAAAATCAACACAAATAACATTCACGCGAAAATGGCGTACGAAATAAACTTAGATTATAAATAAATATTCATAAGATAACAGTTTTTTTATTGCACTAGAGGATAGAGTATTTCATATTAATTATTTAACAACAAACTTATTCATAGAAAAGTTGTCTCTATATATAAGTTTTTATGTGTTAAATTGCTGTGGGTGGGTGCGAGCTCATGAGACCGCTAGGGATTTGACGGAATATGGCCGCGGTCGCAAGCGACCGCTTGGGGGTTGAGGGGTTAAATATCTGGGGCATTTACTCTCCGACGACCTAAAAGATCACGCTGATATGGATCGAGAGCGCGAGGGGCGCTGTCTGTCAGAGCTAACATGATCGCTCATGGGTTTGCGCGGTGTTCAAAGGAAGTTAAGAGTACGCTCTTTCGAGCATTCTGTACTTCGTTCTACTCGTGCAGCTTACGAGCTAATTACAGTAGGAAGAGTTACAGCGTCCTCCGTGTCCAATACAATAATGCTACTAGACCAGTGACGGGACTGCCTTGATTTTGTAGCGCCTCTGGTATGCTCGCGGATGCGCGCACCGATTGTTTCCATACCAATATGAGCAAGCGGGCCACGTCCCTGGTGCGCAGAGCGGGCCACTTCCAACACTGTCCTGACGATGATCGCGGAAAGGTTAGCCTGCCATATCATCCAGCATTGCTACAACAAACATATCGCAGTACGGTTGCTTCAGAGAAAGTTTTAATTGATCTCGTCTCCTGATTTTTTTTTTTATATAAGAGGGTGCAAACAAGCATGAGGCTCACCTGATGTTAAGTGTCTACCGCCGCCCGTGATAAACCGCAACACCAGTGGAATTGCAGGTGCGTTGCCGGCCCTTTAGAAAGGAGTAAGCTTTTTTCTTGAAGATCCCCAGGTCGTATCGGTCCGGAAAAATCGCCGATGGTAAACTATTCCACAGAGATGTCGTACGCGGAAGAAAACTCCTTTTGAAACGTACAGCGGTGAATTATGTAAATGTGTAATATTTACATAATTCATTGTGTGTAACTTTCATTTTATTTGATTTTGATTATATTATTTTGTATACTGACATTACTGCCTATTTAAATTGACTATTATTTTAAAATTTTGATATTGATTTATTTATTTCTAAAATTGTGGCGATTCATTTTGAATTCATTAATTTTACTGGTGTAAATTGCCTGAATAAAGACGATTATTATTATTATTATTGTACCCGTAGACGCCTAAATCTATCCGGGATTCAAGAAAATCAAAATGCAGATGTGTTATTACCCCAGATAGCTTAGAAGCTTCTGCCATGGTCCTCTGGGGTCCCCAAAGGAAAAAGGGTGTCTGGTTTTTGTCACACATATACAAACACAGCAACATTATTCTGCTATTTTGTTCAGGTAATCTGTGTGAGCGTAGTCTCTCCAGTCCGAGTCAACACATTCGCTGCATGTAACCTCAAGTAAAAATGTGATGTTTGTAGAACCATTCACGGCGCCGCAGATGACATCACCGTGCGCATCTTCGTCGTCTGTCTCGTCAGGGGCGGGGCCTGGTGCGGGCGCGGGGGCGGGCGGCGACGAGCCGCTGTCCGCGCAGGCACAGGCCGCCCTGCTAGCCGTCGAGCCCTGGTTCCACGGACCCATCTCCAGGACGACCGCCGAGAAGGTATACACTCAATATATTTTTGTTTGTAAAATTGACGTTGAAGAAATAAGTTCTTTCTTACTCTTTTTCCTAATTTTTAACAAGTCTCATTCATACTACCTGCTCTGCTCTTCCTTCTTTGGAGGGCATACTCTTCCATTGATAATTTATAAAATTCAAACAGTTATGCAATAAGGATATTGGAATGAATAAAGATCATAATTTTGTGTTTACATTTATAAGCAAACCATTTTTACAATAATTAAATGTCAATTTTATAGCTGGTTATGGAAGATGGTGAGTTTCTAGTTCGAGAATCAGCAGCTTGTCCAGGACAGTTTGTTTTGACTGGAGCGAGACGTGGTGTACACAAACACTTGCTCCTCGTGGATCCTAATGGTGTGGTATGTATTATTTTATTTAAAACAATCATTTATTAATGTAATGTATTGTATTTTCTTAATTAATAAAGGCTTATTCGTATGAAATGTGACGAAATATATGTATAACAGTGGCGAAGCTAGAGCTCCAAGCTAGGGCAAGCCCAAGATATAAATTGATAAAAATATAGATTGTTGTTTTTAGCAGTTTTATAAAAATACACCAATCTTGATCTGTCTCCACGCTTCAGTTTCATATTCAGTGCTGTCAAGGACGTGTTTAACAAAGCACACAGAAGGCATACCACTGCTAGTTAGATTGTATTACATATCAGCAATTGCATAGCTTCGGTGGCTTTGAAAAAGCCGTTTGGGTTTGTTTAAGCGAAAGAAAAAAAATATTTACATCCAATACAATACATGAACAAAAGTAAAACACGAACAAAGTACAAACAAACTATGTACAAAATTAAAAAAAAAATATTTACATTCTAATGGATAAGAGATAAGATAAGTGGAATCGTCTCGCTTTCTTATGGAAAGATTTAATTACGTCCACGTAAAATGTTTGTGAACGTTTTAATTGTACCAATAACTGTTTTTAATTGCGATAATTGATAAGTCTGAAATACACTCTTAACCTTGTGTATTATCTCGACAAAGTTTAAAGATTTCCTCTCCGATTATCACTTTAACACACTTCAATTCATCACAAGGAACACTATTATCCTCCATTTTCATTAAAAATCTTTAAAAAAGCATAAATTTTGAACTCGTAATATTAAATCGCTTAAGATAAGCACACAGAGTAAATAAACATTGAAACGTGAAATGAACTTGCAAACGTATTGCCCGCGCGCCTCCGCTTTTAACAAATTTATTCCCAAAAGCCTGGCTTTAAATCTCTATACTAATTGCTATATATGCAATCGTGGTTATATTTCATTATAGAATATTTTGCCATAGGTTAGAAAGAGAGCGATCGTCTTCTAGAAAGCCCCGTAAAAAGCCCACGCGAGCGAGGGAGACAACTATTAGCTCTATTTACTATAAACTCATTTTCATGACAGCAGCAGTATCGCTAAGGCAATACGAGGTCATCGGTCGACATGTGTCGAACAGTTGAGTGCGCGGGAAATTTGTTTCAAGCTATTTCAAGTTGATATTATTGATTGATTCAGGTTTAATAAGGCAAGCCCGGCTTTTCGGCTTTAATGGAACATTCGCCACTGATGTATAACTACTAATAAAATATACTCAACGAAAAAATAGGAAAAACTTAAAATATATGATGATTGATGAGATAACAATTGATGTGTGATGATGTTTCGAAACTGCCTAAAGGTGTAACTTTACTAACTTTAACTTTAGTTGAAAAATGCAATGTATAGAGCTATTTATTTGTCTAATTTCGGATTACATATTTGCTAGACTTGTAACGAATATTCGATTATTATTCGGTATTCGGCCTATTTGGCTACTTTTATCCTATTTGGTCGAATACCGAATATCTAAGTACTATTCGGCTGTATAGCCAATACTTAAGTAAGAGGTTTTATTGTAGTCAAATAATTAGTAAAATGTAAATATTTATTTCTTTTATAATTTTTTTCTTGTCATACCATTAAAGAAGTGATAGATACGTAATCAACTTCCATATTATAAAAATTAAAAAAGAACTATCAGATAAATGTCTATGCACTCCGAATTATTGTAATTCAATTGGAAGATAATGGTGCAGAAAGACTAATTTTTCTTAATTTTCATACAGTAGCTTGCTTCTTTTCTTCTCGTAGACAATTCCGTCAGAGCTTCAGAGAATAGACGCTCTGAAGAATAAACACTACTTCCTTTCCCGCCGAATATTTTGTCTAATATTCGGCTATTCGGCCAGGAAGCACGCAGAATATTCCGTATTTGGTATGTGGCCGAATATACTATTCGTTTCAAGTCTAATGCCCCATTTACATTCAGCCCTGTTGGGCAGGGAAGTGAGCAGGGCAGTGGGCAGGGCAGTATGTAAACGGGCTACTCGCGCTGACACTGCCGCTGCCGCTGCCACTGCCCGACGATCGCTCAAATGTCGGTTTTTCGTGCGGAAGTCAAAGGACGGGCAGCGCGAGCGGCAGTGAGTGTTCACATTCAGCTCCATCGCTCACTTCGCGCCAAGCGCCTGGATGAACGGACGTGCGTGCCGTCTTGTTATTAAATAAGTACGATCTACCAAAATGCCTTTCGAGTGGAATAATGAAAATACAATAAAGTTTTTAGAACTGCTGGAATCAGAAAAAACTATGTGGGATTTCAACGATAAAAACCACAATTCATCATCTTCTACGAATACGAATTTTCTTTTTGAGATAACATAATACCTATGTACATAATTAATTATAAATTCGTCAAATTTATTATATTAATATAAAATTTAGTTTAAGGAATTAATGAACATTGACATTTCATTTCTAACAACGATTAGTAACTCACATTGATTATTTATTTATTAAAATGTGAAATAAGTTAAATGGTCATATTTGCATAATAGCCTGAGATTTTTAAATTATAATTTTATTGTAGTTAAAATTATGAATTAATTAATACTGTAGTGTAATTATTAAAATAATAATAGCTTAACTAATCTCATATAATATTTAATATTATTATTAAAAACAAACCCCCCCCACCCAAAACAAAAAATAAAATGATAACCCAAAAGAAAAAGAAAAAAAAAAAAACCAACCCCTTTATGTAACAATAATGTAATAATTCAATTAATAATTTTTGAACAATTTACAGTATAAGAATTCAAATAGAGTGGATCTGTATAAGTATTTAATTGTACATAATACCTGTTTGAATTCAAAAATAATGTTTGTAGCTAACTTTTAAGCAATACAATAATTTTAAAATGTAACATTGGTTTGATTAGCTGTACATATCATTTTTTCATGCCAATTATGGCAAACATGTCAGTTCCACGTCATTGATCAAGCACCATCAATAAATTTTTCTATCTATCTATCTTCTTTCGAATTTGAAATCTTTTTAAATTATTAACATAATTTTGTATTGCAAGAAGACACAGCGCGGACGCTGTAATTATTTCGACGTCTGCCATAGTCGAAAGCCGAAAGCGATGTGAGCGGTAGGGCAGAGTGTGAATACACACTTCCCGCGATCCTGCTACGGCAGTATTTAGCGAAGTATTGCCGGCAGCGCGAGGAGCAGTGGCAGGGGCTGAATGTAAATGAGGCATAATATTTGCATTAATAAGGCAAACACGTTTCCTTCCACTTGTCCGTTTATGACATACATCAAATCAAAGTACTCAAAATAATTCATGTTGTTTAGAAATAGTCGCACGTTAAAATTGATTGTACCCAAGGAGACAGTTTAAATGCATGAAACATTTTACAGGTGAGAACCAAGGACAGAGTATTCGAGAGTGTCCCGCATCTCATCAAGTACCACTGCACTAATGAGCTGCCCATAGTGTCAGCCGACTCCGCACTGCTGCTTCGCAAACCCGTACTTAGGTCTGGCTCTTGAGATAGTTTCGGATTGTTAAAACTGGTCACAGCTTAGGGCAGTATACTGTAAATATCTGCAATCATCTTGGGCTCTTGTATAACACTCAGGAGTACTGTACAGTACTGGTGAAAATAAAACATTAAAAGCAAAGAATTTTATGGCAAAATAAATCAAAATTTTGTTAAAATGTGGCCGTGTTCATGGGACTTTATCGTGATATTTAAGTTTGTTCCAGTCCAACTTTATAACTTATTCTCATAACGTAAACATAAACACTCACGCCTGTCACCCAGCGGGGTAGGCAGAGACTACAGACTTCCATTTGGCACGATCCTGACACACCTCTCTCGCCTCCTTCACATCCATACACCTACGCATACATACTCGTCGGTTAAGAGTATTCCTAATTTGGTCCGTTTTCAATAAATCGTCAATTTGGTCGATAAATTTTCGACTAGGACGTCCCTTTCCGACTTTGCCATTCACTTCTGCACCATAAATTTTCTTTGTCACTCTTTCCTCATTCATTCTTACCACATGATCAAACCAAATCACCGAATCATTCCTTTCTTAATCCTGGTCACAACATCATCTTGCAAACCACACTTCTCTTATTACACTTTCTTACCTTCCATTCAGATTCAGCCCAACAAAAACTTATTCATAATTTTAAAGAATGTTTAAACTAGAAGAAATAAACAAATTCAGTATTAAAATAATTGATTGAAACAGACTATAGTGTCAATGCATGTGATGCTTTTTTATCTAATAAGAATGTGGAAAGAATTGTTTACATATGTAGAAATAAACCTATATCCTATGATTATATTATATTTATTTGGTGTCTTCAGATTTTTCCTTGCAAACAATGATGTCGCATTAAAGAAATTCAAATCTTGTAGTATGTACGAGGGGTGATCCAAAAGTAATGATAATGAAAATAAAACACGGTAATTAAAGTTAAAATAATAATTTATTTTTCTACCTAGTCTCCTAACAAATTAATACATTTAATCCATCTTTATTCTAAACCCAGGTTTCCCTTTGAAAAAAATTCTTTGTCTTGACCCTCCCAAAACGCTTCAACAGCGACCATTACTTCGCTATCGTCTTCGAATTTCTTGCCTCGGGGGCGTTCCTTGAGCCGAGGAAAGAGTTGGAAGTCACTAGGAGCTAGATCTGGCGAATAGGGAGGGTGTTCGAGCAGTTCGAATCCCGTTTCTTGAATGGCAGCCATCGCAACTGCGGCATTGTGAGCCGGTGCGTTGTCTTGGTGAAACAGCACTCCAGCTCGCAGTTTGCCGCGTCTTTTTTCCTCAATGGCCTCCAGTAATCTTCTTATTTGGTCTGCGTAGTAAGAGCCCGTAATAGTGGCTCCCTTTTCCAAATATTCCACCATAATTATGTCTTGAGCGTCCCAAAAAACAGATGCCATAACCTTTCCCGGCGACCTTGAAACTTAGAATTTCTTTGGCATCGGTGAGGAGGCTCGCTTCCAAGTCATCGACTGTTATTTCGTTTCAGGATCAAAATGGTGGATCCAGGTCTCGTCCATAGTCACAAAACGGAACAAAAAATTTTCTTGATCTGCTTGGAACTTTTCGAGATTGACCCTCGAAATGTCAACTCGATTTTTCTTTTGCTCGTCGGTTAACATTCTGGGTACCCAACGCGCAGAGACCTTTTTCATATGCAACTCGTTCGCAAGGATTCTTTGAACGCTGCCATATGAGATCCCTGTGACCTCAGCTACATGCCTGATGGTCACTCTTCGATCTGCCAACACAACATCTTCGACTTTTTTCACGTTGTCTTCAGTGAGGGACGTGGATGGGCGTCCTTCGCGATGTTCATCTTCATTGGATGTTCTGCCCAGTTTAAAACTCCTTGGCCCATCGTGCAACTGTAGAATATGGAGGAGCAGAGTTCCCCAATGTTTCCACTAAGTCACTGTGTATGTCTTTTGAAGACATTTTTTTTCAAACAGAGGTACTTGATGACGGCTCTAATTTCGTTTTTCTCCATCTTGATGTTATCTCTTTGACAGTTCGTATTCAAATGACTGTATCTCCCGGAAATCGTGATCTATTTATATGATTTTTTTAGGCTGACGTAGTGAGTATATAAGCAAGCAAAAAAAAATATTTTTTTTTGATTTAATATCTTAATGCGGACCTGAAGTAACCGATTATCATTACTTTTGGATCACCCCTCGTACATTGTCCACGGTCTGCACGTAGTGATCAGTTGCGAGCGAGCGTCCGCTTTGCTATACGCACACAGATTGACACCACGTACGTTTTTACTTCACTGGCGCTCGTCAATTGTAAGAACCATAAAACATTTTAATCAAGAATTTGTAATATGAAAGATATTTTATACTCTTTTGTTCCAGTATAATGTTTGCTCATGTTTGATGTTTTTAAGCGCAGTCAATCAATTCAAAATACTAGAGATGTTTAGCGTAAAAGTACTTTTTGCGTGATTTGTCAAACGCAAAAACATAAGCACGTATTAAGGCCTTCCTGAACTTTTGAATTAAATAGTAAATTAAAAAAATGCAAGAAGTTGCTAGATTGAAAATGTGGGTATAGTTAAGCACTAATGGTCCCGCCTCCTTTTTAATTCAAAGGTCCAAATTATAAATTTGTATTCAAGTTCGCAACGTTTCTGTCTTTACAGAATAATTGTTGTGGTGAAAAGACAGGATTACTTTTCTCATTTTTGAATCTCCGTGGGTTGAGTCATTTAACATCATACACATAGATAAATTCTAATATCAATTAATCATACAGAATTGCATATTGCAGTATGTACCTATAATCCATTTTTGCACGCTTAGATTTAATCGCTTGATTGATTTTATTCAAACTTATTGTTCCTCCAATGCAAAACGTTAATGTGAACACATCACAGCTTAAACACTACAACTTGAAAACGAAAGTACTTGCGCAGAGCGACGGCGGGAGCACTGCGGGACAGGCCGACCTTGTGCTAACGCACTCCACTGAGTCTAGATAGACTGCGGTCGGTGTGAGCGTGTTTTATAGTATTTATTTAACAATTTTAGGTGCTGTTTTTGAAAAATATAATATCTGTAATGGTGAATTACTGTCATAGTTATATAAGTTACCAAGTAAACTTGAATTCAAATGAGGGCCATGCTTATTGTTCCCTCATTTTGTTTTTGAGAAAATTATTTATCCGAGTGCGAATATAGTACATGATTAAATTTACCAATCGAAAACTGAAAACATCTATAAAAAAAAGTGTCATGAAAATATTTGGCAGTGCAACACTTGTAAATATGTTTTTTTTTTTGTAGTAATTAAAAATGATCTTTCTCGATAAATGTTTTAAACTTATAAGTATGTACACAATCTTAATAAATGATAATAAGTATTATAATATCCAAAATTAGCATACACGCTAGCCGCGTCGCAATACCTACGCGGGCGGCGACATCGTCTGACATCAAAGGCGTTTCATTACTGTAAGGTCTAAACTGTGCTAATATCACTATAAATTATAATATATTTTTACAGTTACTATAATTTTAGTTATAAAAATATGACTGCCATATCAGTCAAAGTAATTGCATATTACGAGGTCAATTACATGTTCCCAATAGTACTTTAATAAGCACGTATATTTTTAAGATCTGAAGGATTTTCTTTAAAATGCTTAGAATATAATTATTTGGAATATAACGGGATTATTATCTTGCTTTATTTCAACGTATCAATACTTAATGTAAATTCTATGTAAACGAGAGAAAGAAATATAACATTTTAAAGTGAAAAACATATTAAATTACTTTAGCTTTAAACATTGCTGTGCAATTTTTATACCAAATTATTGACGCCACAATAAAGCAATTTTATGTTTATATAACCGCATTTAGTAGAAGTTTTATTTTAGGCAGGGTGTATATCTAACCAAATTCATTCCAAGATGATTTAAGTCCAGCTAATGTGTGTAAAGCTCTCTGCTGAAAATATTTTAAAGTGATAGTAACTCTAAAATAACTGTATAAGTCATAGAAAGATGGATGAAACAAATAGGTGCTAATAAAGCTTACTTAATATTTATAACCCATGGTATGTAAAAAATAAAAGTGTTTAAATAGAATGTAAGTCATCACAAAACCTGTCAAATTTTAAATATTTTATAAGACTGTGTTCTTTAATTTCCGACATATTTTTTTACACCCTATGATTATATTGACTAAGTGAAAATTGTGTCATTTTACATGCTTTAACTATTAGTTATATTGCTAATTTTTATTATATTAAAAATGCTCCTTCTATTTGACGAAATTTCAAAAAATAATGTAATAAGCACAAAGTTTAAATTGTTCGAATAGTTTATTCAAATACGTTATGTAAATTGTTTATGAAGTAATTGTCAATAAAATATTTTAATAATTATTGAATATCTTAGTTTTTTTTTTAAATTGTCATCATAACATCAAATAGGGTCACTAAACACTTCACGTCAGAGGGGTAGGCAGAGACTACATACTTCCATTCAGCACGATCCTGACATACCTCTCTCGCCTCCCCCACATCCATTTATACCTATTCATACAAGCTCGTCGGTTAAGAGCCCTCTTACATTTCGGCTAGAGGTTGCAAATATTCGATAGTTTTGATTTTCGAATATTCGAATATTTTTTCAGTGCTGTTCGAATATTATTCGAATATATTAAAAAAAAACACTTCAAATATCAGCTTTTATTGCTTTAGGAACAGAACAATAATCAACATTGCAAATAATCTAACATACCAACACGAATAGAATCATCATTTATCTTTAAACAATATAAACTCAGTGTTTAGTAACATAAAAAGTATTATCTAATTCTTAAACATAGTAGGAAACATGTTCTTATAAATCTCACGATTATACATGAACATGTTAATCAAAACACAATAATTAACATTGCAAATAATCTAACATACTAACACGAATAGAATCATCATTTATCTTTAAACAATATAAACTCGGTGTTTAGTAAAATAAAAAGTATTATCAAATTCTTAAACATAGTAGGAAACTATGTTCTTATAAATCTCACGATTATACATGAACATGTTAATCAAAACAATTATAAAATTCTCAAACAATTCAAAAAGTCTTAAACTCGTTAATAATAAAAATAAAAAGTATCACAAATGTAAAGGTGTCGTAAAGGCATTGCAGTATCATTTTCATATGCAATATTACACTAATAAATCAGATTCATCAATGATAACTCAGAATTAAATCAGATTTACCTATTATAATATAAAATCAACACAGCTCATAATAATTATTGTTTTTTTACGTATTCTTTGAAAGTGAGACCTGAGGAAACTTAAGGCGTCTAAGGAATCATCGCTTAATTTACATCTGAGATGATTGCAGATATACTTCGTAGAAGAAAATACCCTTTCGCACTCTACACTAGTTGGTGGAATGCACATTAACACGTCATAAGCATAAGAGTTAGGTGTATTTGTCTTGGCGTTCCTGCATCATATAAAGCCATCTGCATTTTTATTGATGATTCTAGATCATGTTCGCAAGTTGCTGTGGACGTAGAAGGCCTTGCACACATTTCATCGTCTATTTTTTTCTGCAGCTGTTATTTTATTGACATATTTGTGATTCTAGACGCTTCTTCATTTTGACAATGCTGTAAATCTGCTAGAAACATGTCATCTTCGTCATCAGAAGCGCCAGTATAAGTTATTGTTGAAGGTCTTTGATTAAAGTATTTTTTTTTTGTATGTCAACTATGACTTTGGTGATAACATCATTTCCTACTTTAGGGAAGACAGTAGAAGATTGTTCCTGGTAGTATTTGTTAGGATTGTGTAAATACTTCAGTGTACATACCAGATCTGTTTGTCGGCGTTGAGCGATTCTTAATGTTAAAGCCTGAAAGAGTCTACTACTGATAACCCCATTGTTCTCTTGTAGTTTAGTGACCATGAATTGCAGGGCTGTATCCGCAGTTAATAAATTCGCCTTTTCTTGGAAAATAGCTTCTACAGTGTTTTTTACGATAGTGAGAGTCGTAGATAAATCCTGCAAAAGATCAAGCTCGTAGGTACTGAACATAGTTTTTTTCTTTCAAGTCAATCAGTGCCTTTAATATTGCATCCTTTAAAAGCAAAAATTTTGAAACCATGTCCGCCATGCTGCTCCACCGCGTTTTGCAATCTAAAACCAGGCCCGCTCTTTTGTTATCTTCAAGGACATGTTTATTTAAAACTTCTGTCCTAGTTGGAGACTTCTTGAAAAACTTCACTACCTTTCGTACATTAACAATCAAATCCTTATAATCGATATTAAGCCTGGATTCACTTCTGGTTTCTGCATTACTAACTACAAAACCTTGTCCATCGTCATTTTCATCTGTTTCTTCATCTTCTGATTCTTCTGCCTCTGAATCTACTATTGTAGATAATGTCTCCTCTGTGTCTATTTCTTCTGAATTTTCGACAGTTTCTACACTCTGATTATATAAGTTCTTATATATGACATCCACCACTGCACACTGAATTCCATGTGCGAGGCATAATTGGTGAAATGAAGGTATTTGACGACCCATGGCAGTCATAACGCTAGCACCATCTGTCACTACACCTACTAAGTCATCTTCTAAAAATGGATCGTAGGACCCTAATTTAACCCGCAAAATATGATTACATCTTTCCGATGTTCCTCTACCTGTAATTCTTGCCAATCCCAAAGTTTCTGAAAGGCTTGTCATTGTCATTGAAATTAGGGCAGTGAATGTTAATATTCACATAACGCCGGTTGCTAGCTGATGTCCACTTATCAATAGAGACGGAAAATTTCTGTCCTTTTGCTTTTAAAACCGACAATTCTTTTCTCAGTTCTTGTTTTAACTGGTCACTTTTTTCTATAACAATCTTCTTATTTCTGTTCGGAGATTTCGGCAAAGCGTCGTATCCACTTTTAAAAAAAAGCATACGTATAGATTCTGATTTGCAAAAAACGTTGAATGGTTGACCATCACACGCAGTCATTTTGGAAATCACAGTTGCCATATTATCTTCTTTGGTGTTCTGATAGTAATCGTCAATTCTGACTTTTTTTGTCTTGGGCATGGGCCGCTGATCTTGTTCTTGTACTACCTCATTTGTGGGAGTTGTAGGCGTAGCAGTCGCTGGAATCTGTCGAATATTTCTTCTTGTATCTAGTAGACCGAACAATAAAAAAAAATCTTATGAGTAAAAGCGTTAATACCTTGTGGTCAAAAGTAATAAATGTAAGTGAACAAGTAGTGAACGCCGTGTAGTGGCGGTTGAGAATATCCAGTACCCCATATCTTCCCGTGGGTGTCGTAAGAGGCGACAGAGGGAGACAGGCAGGAGATGGGCAGCAGCATCTTCATGATAACAACTGTGTTATAATAAAAAACTGCGGTTGCCAACCCGTTCGCCAAGCGTGGCAACTATGGCAAATATCCCCCCATGAATAATGACGCAAAAAACAGCCCCCAGTCCCCGGCGGCCCCGCTATTCCTGGATACCGTGGCGACCATGGTAACGGCGGGGCAGGGGGTGCTAAGAATCTCCGGTGGAGGTTCGGTTGCCACCTACGACGACTCGACCTGGCAACATATAACGCACGCACCCTGAGGACTGACGAGAAGATACTGGAGCTGGAAGAAGAGGTAGACAAGTTGCGCTGGCATATTATTGGATTATCCGAGGTCCGAAGAGAGGGGGAGGATACGGCAATCCTCGAGTCCGGCAACTTGTTCTACCACCGGGAGGGCGACCATCTGTCCCAAGGAGGTGTCGGATTTATCGTCTACAAGTCTCTCGTCAACAACGTTGTAAAGATTGGGAGTGTGTCGACGAGGGTCGCGTACCTGATACTCAGAATCACCAAACGGTATTCGCTGAAGGTCATACAGGTTTACGCACCAACCTCGGCACATCCCGATGAGGAGGTGGAGGAAATGTATGAGGATATTTCCAGAGCCATGCATTCCTCCAAAACCCACTACACGGTGTTGATGGGAGACTTCAACGCAAAACTGGGCACAAGAGAAAGCGGTGAGCTGAGGGTGGGGAAATTTGGAGTAGGGCAACGGAACCGAAGGGGCCAGCAGCTGGCCGACTTTATGGAGAAAGAGGGACTCTTTATGATGAACTCTTTCTTCCAGAAGCGGCCCCACAGGAAGTGGACCTGGTCGAGCCCCGACGGTTCGACAAAAAATGAGATTGACTTCATTATGACGACCAGACGCCAACTGTTCAGTGATGTCTCAGTGATCGCAAGGGTGAAAACTGGCAGCGATCACCGAATGGTTAGAGGCACACTGAACCTAAACGTTAAGTTGGAGAGGTCTCGTCTAATGAAGTCAACGCTCCGTCCCCCTCGTGCTCTAATCCAGAATCCCGAAACCTTTCAGCTCGAGTTACAAAACCGCTTTCAGTGCCTAGAGGATTGCAATGCAGTGGACGATATGAATAACAAGCTCGTGGAAACTGTCCATGCGGTCGGAGCTAAGTTCTGCAAGACCCGCCGCAGAAGAACACAAAAACTCTCCGATCACACTCTTAATCTCATGGCTGTTAGACGGGAGATAAGGCTGCAATCGCCAACAGATTTGACAGCATACAGGCAGCTGAACAGACAGATCTCCAAATGCTTGCGGCGAGACTTACGCAACTTTAATACTTCTCGTATTAAAGAAGCGATCGAGCGGAACCAGGGCTCCAGTCTTTGCCAGAGATCTGTCTGCCAGAAGAAGCCAACTGTCAAGGCTGAAGACTGAGTGTGGCAACATCGTTTCCGGGACACCTGAGATTCTGAGTGAGATTGAGTGGTTCTATGGGCAGCTGTACACATCATCGTTGGAGCTACACGCAAGTGTGAGTAACGATCCAAGAGCAAGTCTTATTCGACACTATTCCGATGATATCCCGGACGTCAGTCTGAGCGAGATTAGAATGGCTCTCCACCACCTTAAAAACGCAAGGCCCCGGGCGAGGATGGAATTACAGCGGAGCTTCTGAAAGCGGGTGGAACACCGGTACTTGAAGTCCTTCAGAAGCTCTTCAATTCCGTCCTCCATGGTGGCATTACTCCGGAGGCGTGGAGCAGAAGCGCGGTGGTCTTGTTCTTTAAGAAAGGCGACAACGCTCTCTTGAAGAACTACAGACCGATTTCCCTTCTGAGCTGCGTCTACGTGCTGTTTTCGAGAGTCATTACGAATCGTCTCGCACGCAGACTCGACGACTTCCAGCCTCCCGAACAAGCCGGTTTCCGAAAAGGCTTCAGTACCATAGACCACATACATACCCTTCGGCAAATTGTACAGAAGTCCGAAGAGTACAATCTGCCACTTTGCCTGGCTCATGTGGACTATGAGAAAGCCTTTGATTCCGTCGAAATTCGGGCGGTGCTACAGTCTCTTCAGCGGTGCCTAGTTGACTGTCGGTATATTGAAGTGCTGAAGTGTTTGTACAGTAGGGCTACGATGGCTATCCGAGTACAGAACCAGAGTACGAAACCTATCCAACTGCAGAGAGGTGTAAGACAGGGTGATGTTATATCCCCGAAACTCTTCACCGCTGCATTGGAAGACATTTTCAAGCTACTGGACTGGAAAGGATACGGTATTAACATCAATGGCGAGTACATCACTCACGTTCGATTTGCCGACGATATAGTCCTTATGGCAGAATCGCTGCAGGACCTTAGCACTATGCTCAATGACCTCAATGGTGTCTCCCAACGGATAGGTCTTAAGATGAACATGGACAAAACAAAGATCATCTTTAATGTCCATGTCACACCTATGCCGGTAATTGTTGGGAGCACTATGCTCGAAGTTGTTGACGAGTACGTTTACCTAGGACAAATAGTCCGACTAGGTAAGTCCAACTTCGACCGAGAGGTCAATCGACGGATTCAACTCGGCTGGGCAGCGTTCGGGAAATTACGACACATCTTCTCATCAGGTATACCTCAATCTCTGAAAACTAAAGTGTACAACCAGTGCGTGTTGCCAGTGATGACTTACGGATCTGAGACGTGGTCCTTCACCGCTGGCCGTATGAGGACGCTCAAGGTCGCTCAGCGAGCTATGGAGAGGGCTATGCTCGGAGTTTCACTGCGTGATAGACTCAAAAATGAGGATATCCGCAGTGAAACCAGAGTGACCGACATAGCCCAACGGATTAGTAAGCTGAAGTGGCAATGGGCCGGCCATATAGCTCGAAGAACCGATAACCGATGGGGAAGAAAAGTTCTCGAGTGGCAGCCTCGTACCGGTAGGCGTAGTGTAGGGCGACCCCCCACTAGATGGAGTGACGACCTGGTAAGACATGCAGGAAGTTGATGGATGCAGGTGGCTCAGGACCGTGCTTTGTGGCATTACTTGGGGGAGGCCTATGTTCAGCAGTGGACTTGTGAAGGGCTGTAATGATGATAATGATGAACAAGTAGTTAATAAAGGTAAAAGCCGTAAAAGTAAGTTAAATGAATGACTAACCAGGTACACTTGGATGTTGTTTCTTCAAGTGATTGTGTAAGCATGTGGTGGTATTTGAGCATTGAAGAATTCTTTTGCATAATTTGCATTTTGCGTGACTTCCATCCTCAGTCCGTAAGAAAGAGTTCCATACTGAAGATTTGTCAAACGTACGTTTTGTGTACTCTTTAAAAACCAATTTATCCATCGTCAACTGATCTGCAATGTAATTGAATTTGATACTTGTAAATACATATAACGTAGGTATTTGGTGATCAGTGCAAAGTGAGTTTTTAGGTTAAGTCATAAATTCAACCACCGTGTTTGCAAAAAAAATAACAAAATACACAATACTTACATAAAACAATCCACAAATACTTTTATATAAACACCGGAATCAAATCACTTCACAAAAGACAAAATGCACAGCTTTGGAAGTATATAACAACGCGTTCTCTAAGTGAATGAACTCAACAAAATGGCGTCAAGCAAGTCACTCAAGCCGTTAAGCAGTGTTGCCAACAACAATTTTTAAGTTCTACCAACATAGACTTGACTAGTATTTTTTTTGGTAGTTATTCGAATATATATTTATTTACAATTCGAATATAAATTTGGAAATAAAATTCGAATAATTCGAATATTCGATTGCAACCTCTAATTTCGGCGTTACGCAAATTTAGGTATTTTATGCTCCGAGCGGGCGACGACCTACGCGAGTGATACCTTATTTCATATTATCTATTCACTCGCTCTCACATTGATACTGTGAGTATAGCGACTAAACGATCTTGATCTTCCATAATATATGTTTTCTTAGGATGAAGTTCTGTGGATGGAAAATTTTTAGTGTGTCATTTTTATGTTATCTAATTAATTTATTATAGTCTATTTGATATATTTTTCATTATTTATGAACATAGTAATTAATTAGCGCTCGATTACTTCCAAAACCGATGTTGCCACCTACAGCCGTATTATAAACATACATACGCAATGCACAATGATATCTAATGCTTTACTTCTAAAACATTCTCCTGAATAATCGCAAGGCATTTAATGAGTGGGCGACAGTAGAAGTCCATAAGAGTAGACAAAGGTTATATGAACTTTACAATGGAAGGTCATATAATCTAGCGTCGAATTTAGGAAGTATGTAAATAAATATTTAAAAGAGTGTGCTCCATAGCCAAGTCATTGTATTTGAGCAACAAAATAAAGATGTCTTCTAATAAAATTAAAATGACATGGAGTAT